GGAAGGGGAACAGGAGATTTGTCACTCCTGGCACCGCACTGTGTGAGGTGCGGACTTCATTCTGTTTAATGGACGGGCAACCTGTGGGTGTATTTGCAAGTCAATATGAATACATCTAGATTGTCAGTGACACAGCACAGATTAATTAAAAAAGCATTACGTCTTTTCTAACTGAATGTGGCCTAGGATTAGGAGCAAAGAAAGTGGTTTTACACTGGCTGAAATCCAGTATGAAGTTGCAACTAGAGTAGGTCTGTTGAATCAGTGGAACGTATGGAGAAGTGGCCTCTCCAGATCCACCTGGATTTAATGAACCTGGTCTAGTTGGGAGTTGCTACTGTAGACCAGCCATGGATGGAGAGTAGTGGGCTTTCTAGTTCAGTACTGTCCTGGTCTATGCCAAGGGAAGGCAGTTGGGGCCTTTCAGGTCTTGTTGAAGTGTGAGTACCACCAGCATTTCTCCCCCACCCCACAGGAGCCACGTGCTCTACTTTTTGCACATGGCTTGTCCTTCCATTAGTCCAGCTTGCATCATTGATTAGCTGGCAGAAAAGGAAAGGAAAGAGAAAACAACAGGGAAAGGAAAAAGATGGTATCTAGTGCTACTTTGACCCGTCCAGTCAATCTTGGGCAAGAGAGGCAGTCATCCATCCTTCATTTACACACATGCTCTATTCTATGTATAATGAAGGGGGGGAAGGGGAGAAGCCTAGGATGTGGCCTGTTAGCAAAGCAGGTAGTTTCCTCCCATTGCCATGCCTTGATGTAAAATGGCTGCTTGCCCAGAGGATAAGACCATACAAAGTCCATTGAGGTGTGCCTGAACCTTCCAGGGCTCAGTTCTTGGAGTTTCAAGGGTAGCTTTGGCTTTCAGTGAGACCTCAGTTGACCATCTCCTTCTACCTTACACTCCTCCTTTTGCTATAGCAAAGTTCCCCCCCCCCTTTCAACTGGACCAAACTTTAGTGATTTGTAGGGGTTTGTGAACCAAACCTAGGATGACTGAGGCTTCTTGGACCACCCTGTAACTGATAAAACAATGCAATAATATCCGTGTTCCACGTTATTTGGATGCTTTTCTCCAAAGCTGGTGCACCTCCCTAGCTAAAAAAATCAGCAAAAATGAACGAAGACTCAGAACAACACCAAATTAAGTTTGCATGCCTTTCACAAGCTGGACTATCGATGCCAAGCATTTAAAACAGTTTCCTAACAGTTTAAGACACTTTTAAATGAGGGGATAGGGACATCGTTATGTGAAAATCCCCCATAGGAAACATCGCTGTGTGAGGCAGCAACTTGATCAGAAAAAGACATCGTTATGTGAATTCATCGTTGTGTGAGGCACTCGTTGTGCGAGGCACCACTGTATAATGAAGGGGGGGGGGAGAAGCCTAGAATGTGGCCTGTTAGCAAAGCATGTCCCATTGCCATGCCGGGATGTAAAATGGATGCTTGCCCAGAGGATAGGACCATACAAAGTCCATTGAGGTGCGCCTGAACCTTCCAGGGCTCAGTTCTTGGAATTTCAAGGGTAGCTTTGGCTTTCAATGATACCTCAGTCAACCATCTCCTTCTACCTTACACTCCTCCTTTTGCTATAGCAAAGTTCCCCCCCCCCTTTCAACTGGACCAAACTTTAGTGATTTATAGGGGTTTGTGAACCAAACCTAGGATGACTGAGGCTTCTTGGACCACCCTGTAACTGATAAAACAATCCGTGTTCCACCTTATTTGGATGCTTTTCTCCAAAGCTGGTGCACCTCCCTAGCTGGAATTAATAATTGGCTGTAAGTCGGAGTCCTGCCCTGAATTTGTGTGAAATGTAGTAGGATAGTAAAAAGATGAAAAATAAGATATCTGCTTTAATAGACAGGTGCACATTATTATTTTTAGGTAAGAAAATCATCACAGAGTGATTGAAGTTTGCTTTTGTTTTTAACTTTTTTTCAATCTAAGCTAAGAAAGGCAGTAGAAACTAAAGAACCATGGTACAGTTGCTTTAAGAAATGCTGTCAACATCTGGTAGGTATGTATTATTACCTAATAATTTTTCAATAGTTTCTTGATCAAGTTTTTGACATTCTTCTTAATCCAGTTTCCATTACCCATCACTTATAATTACAATTAATAGCAAAGTAAGGAAAGAAACAACTCATTTTCTCTCCTTACTTTGTTATTAATGTAAAGCAGAATAATTTTAACATTCAAAAGCATAAATAAAAAAATAATGCATTCTACAGTATTTGTTATTGAGTTCTTTATGGAGGTCAACAAACAGCAGTATAGAGAAATGGTTCTGACATCCATTCTAGAAAGAATCTCAGTGTGTCAGGACACTTAAGATATTCTGGTACACTTATAGGCTTGCTGTTGAATCAGTTTTATTAGGAAATGTTATTGCTTTAGTGTAATAACATGTAATTCACTTCTTATTTATTGGTCTCTGGTTTTCATAGTAAGCAACTGCAAGGTCACAATGGTTGAACAGTGTTTCGCTTGAAAATATAAAAAGACAATGGGGTGATGTCTTTATAATGAACAGTGGATTGCAGCTACATCATTAAAAGTTAGAGCAGAGATGGCCCAGCACAGGTTCCTTAAAATGAAGAATGCAGTGTATGGCAGGAGCTCAAACTTGGGTTTGAGGCTTCATCCTGTTTGGTGTTTTATGTTCTCAGTGGTATTATGTGGTATGGCATCATGGACTTTTAAGACAGACTAAAAAAGACAGAAACATTTTAAATCTTGGTTTCTTGGGCAATGCTAAGACTTTCCTAGATTGAGAGAGTCAGCCCCAGGTGAGTCAGTCCCGGCTTGGTCCCTTCCAAATTCCCTTTGAGACAAACTGGCAGGCAAGCTGCTTTCTTGTTACAAAGCATTAACATTTATTAACTCAATGGGGCAACAGGTATAACTTCAATAGGTGTTTCCCTTTCCTTCACCAAGAGGGTGAGGAAGGGATTCCAAGAACTTTTGTCCTTTAAGGGAGGGCTTTCCCCCTTCTATATGCCAGGGGTCTCCTCCCTCATTCTTTAGACCTGATGTGGACCATGATGGCAACAACACTGACTGTGGTGGCAGGGGCTCCCACCTCCACAACTCTTCTCTCTCTGTTGTCCCCCAGAGTTCCCATTGGACCTCCGAACTGGATTGCAATAGACCCCCATCTGAGGAAGAGAAGTCCCACTACTTCTTGGCTCATTCTTCCTCACTGCTTTTAGGGCCAAGGCTTGCTCCCACTTTCTCTTTTCCTTTTTCCGCCATTAAAATGACTTTTGGGGTACTTTCTCCTCCTCCTCGGCTTCTCTTGGCACCATAAGTTTTCCCATCTCCCCAGTACAGGAGTTTCCCCTTTCTAACCATTCCTATTCTACTGGTAAGACCTTCTCTTGCTTCCTTTCGCTCTCAGTCCTCTGCCCCCTTTCCTCTGGCTGTGTTCTTATATCTCTCTTCCTCTGTTATTCTTGCCCTTAGTTATCTTTTCCTCCCTTCCTGCCTTTTCTTCTAAAACCAGTTGGTCTTTTCCTCCCAGTTCTTCTGGCCTTTTCCAGCTCTCAGACTCCAGCTACTCAACTTGGTCCCCCCTTTTCCATGGTAGAGGGGATGGCACACAGGCAGGAGGCAGCTTCCTCTTGCTCCCTTTCTCATGGTATTATAAAAAATTGATAAAATAGTGAATCCACTGTGGATTCTGAAATTTTTCTTATGAGCAAACATGGTTGCCTTTGCTTACAGCATCAGTGAAAAATGTAGTTCTTAGTTCTGTTTTACAGATTCACCTGACAGTACGATCCTAACTCAAAGAGGTTAGGAAGTGGTAAAAGCTGTTTCTTCTACCAGAAACGGCTTTCTAATTGGTGAAATACCTTTATGCTAGCAGAACTGTCTTCTGGTGGATCTCAGTGATAGTAATTTGCTGGCATAAGAACATGAATCAAAAGAAAAAAAGGGGGTGAGGGGACAGAGAAGAGGTTTGGGGAATGGAAGAACCAATTCATTTGAGATCTAAGCTTCCTTCAATATATAGGTCCGAACTCAATGTGGACACAAGAAGGCCAAGGTGAAGGGAGTCCTAGGTCCTTTCCAGTATCTCAAGACTGGGTTTAGAATCAGCCCAGCTTCAGTTGTCCTGGCATCAGCTAGTTTGGATTGTACTATAAATTAGTTCAGGCCTTATTGAAACCATTGGAGTAACTAGTAGTGCAACCCTATGAATGTGTGAAGGGGATTATAGCATAGTAGTCTTAAACTGGATCTGGCCCATTGAGATGGGTTGGTGATTTGTTGCTTGTTGGATTCGTACACACAATTGTTCAAATATTCTACCATTCCCACTTAAGTACATAAAGCATAGTGTATGTGTACAGCTGAATCAGGGTTCTCAAAATTTTTGAATGTATCTGTGAGGAAGGAGCACCAGTTATTTTGAAATAGTTAACATTTGATTTGGTCTCGAATATTAATTTTTCCAAATATGCTCAGTAAGAAATGGAAAAGGAGAATTATTATAATTGCTAAAATGTTTTATTGTACTTGTTCATGATAATCTTTTTCTCTGTTTTTCCTAAAGTCCCCAAACTGTTTGGAAATACAATTTTATTCAGCGATTTCTAGTGCCTGCTTGCTGTCATAATGAGAGGGCTGATGAACATGAAAAACAAATTACTTTCCAGTAGGAATATTTCTTGTCTTACTGAATTGTCTAAGGAGATTATTTTCAGAAGCACATCACCAAGGTTTCTTGGTCTTAAAGCTGATAGCACCATTGATAAATCAGGAGAAGAAAATGACATATTAGTCAGCACTCCGACCACTATGGGTGTGGATATCAGCTTGGAAATGGCAACCTGGTGTTCTCAGGAAAAACACCATAAATGGTGATCTTTAGAATTTTTTACACACTAAATGGTTTTGTAGAGAAACCATTGCCACTATAATCTCATGTTACCCATGTTGCATAACCTGATCACATAAATCTCCAAAATCGCTGGAAATTTTTGAAAACTATTTTGAAGAGTGAGTTGGACATTGTACAAATCCTGGAGCATTCTCCTGAGTGCTTTTTTCGTTCTCAAAATAATGAGAATGTGGAGGAAAATGTTGCTTTATTTTTTCTTTTGAACTAACTTCCAAACATCTTGCCAAGATGCTGATCGTCGTTCCAAGGGCATTTTTCAACATTGTGGCGCTCAAACAAACTGTAGACCTGTTGAGGCAGGTCTATATAGATCTTGGTGGAGAAAATCCAGCTCATTTTTGTAAAGCAGATAATTTCTAAAAATGCCTCCATCCTTCTTCAGAGCAGCAAGAAAGTGACAGCTAACATTCAGCTACTGAAATCATATTTACATCTGGAGAATGAGGAATTAAGGATGCTCTTGCAAGGTGAAGGAGGTGATATCTTGCATCTCTCTAATGAATACCTTAAAAAGAACCTTGAAATTATGAAAAAGAAATTATTTCATGGATGCACTGAAACAGATGCCATTACATTTTTCTGTAAGCACATCTATGTTTTGTATATTTCTGCCCAGAAAATAAATGATGAAATAGATAGTATCCTACAGGCAAATAGTAATCTTCATGAAATACTGAAAGGCTCTCTAGTTCTTGACAAAAGCATAAAAACTTTAAGTAGTCGAACTGATGTGCTGAGAAAAGTAGGTTATGATTTTGAAACCCAGACTATTGGGATCCTTAGACTGAGTAAACCAAGATTTAAAGCTAAATTGGAAAAGATGTACGAATGTACGTAATGAAAGATGCACGGAGACATTTTATGCCCCGCCCCAAAGAAGAAAGCAAAATTGATTGAAGAAGAAAATCACCTTCAAATGTGGTTTAAAACTAAACCAACCTCGCAAGATATTTTAATATTTGGAATTGTTTGATGGTTATCAATAAAAATAAACCAAGATTTAAAGCTAAATTGGAAAAGATGTACGAATGTACGTAATGAAAGATGCACGGAGACATTTTATGCCCCGCCCCAAAGAAGAAAGCAAAATTGATTGAAGAAGAAAATCACCTTCAAATGTGGTTTAAAACTAAACCAACCTCGCAAGATATTTTAATATTTGGAATTGTTTGATGGTTATCAATAAAAAGTTTTCCCTAAGGTTTCAGGTTTTTTGGTTTAAAGATGGATCTATTAGATGTTTGTGTTACAAATTAGGAGTATATTTACATATCTTGCCATTACAATGTGGGGTTTTTCTTTCAAACGTGATGCCACATGCCGTATTTTTCTGTGTATAAAATGACACTTTTTCCTAAAATAATTAGAGGGGAGTTTTTCTTTCAAACGTGATGCCACATGCCGTATTTTTCTGTGTATAAAATGACACTTTTCCCTAAAATAATTAGAGGAAATTTTGAGGGTCATTTTATACATGGAAGGAGGCAGTTGCATGCACGCTTGGGCGCCTCTTGCTGCCAATGCCGCCTCATGCTTGTCTCCTCCGGTGGTTGAGGCAGCAGCAGGAGACAGAAGCGAAGGAGAATTCACACGCGCTTGGGCACCTCTTGCTGCTGCCTCCCCCACCCGCCCGATCACCACCTCCAGTGGGACTGATGGGCTCAGCTCACATCACAGCCTTGACCCCTCCGGTGGCAGAGGCAGCAGGAGGCAGAGGTGGAGGCAAAGAAGCGCTCGGGCGCTCTTCCTGCCGCCGCGGCCAGATCACCTCTAGCGACCGTCTCCTTAGGGCAGGGGACAAGGCTGCAACATGACCTGGAGATAAGCCCTGGCAGTCGCACTGGAGGAGGTGATGGGCGGGCAGCGGAGACAGCAGCATGAGAGACAGAGGTGGAGGAGCAAGTTGCTCATTAACTGCTCCTCCGTCTCCATCAAGGGTCAAAATTAGGGGGTCGTTTTATACATTGGGGTGTCCTGTAAACAGAAAAATATGGTAATTTGCTAACTGAAGAGGCTGTGTAGGAAAACATTTCCACCACCCTACTTCTGTTACCGTTTTGTACATGCCTGTGTGAATTCCTGTTATTTACAAAAATGTAGTAAAGAGGAATAAATGATGACATCAGCCTCTTTGTGATGAGGAAAACTACAGAAATGCTATTTGGAAAACATTTGGTTTAATTTAAACTAGTTATATGCTAGCTATTTCCCTCTTTTCCCAGTGAGACTTAAAAAGTAAATTTATTAAGAGCACAGATGATTCCTGTAGCACAATGATTTAACAGGCTTTGCCCATATATTAATTGCAAGAAATGATCTTGGGAAGAGGATGGTTGGAAATCACTGTCAAGATTACTATTTTTATTGGGAGCAAATCTTTAAATATGTTATAATGCATAGAGGTAGTAGTAGCCCTGGAAATGTGAGATGTGATCATAATACAGAGGTTTGGACAGCAATGCCCTGCTTGTTAGGGGATACTTCAGGGCAAGCAGATGAAACCTTGAAAAGGAGTTGTGACTGAAAAAGTAACTTTTAAATAGCAATGAACTGAATGACCATTAGAGGTCACTGCAGAGCAATTAATAAACTTCCTATAAAAATTTCTATGCATATATATATGCACAGAAATTTTTATAGGAAGTTTATATATAAGAGAAAAGCTGTTGTACATAATCTTGCATGCATATTCAATAAAAGAAAAATACCATGTTTCCCTGAAAATAAGACAGGTTCTTATATTAATTTTTGCTCCAAAAATGCATTAGGGCTCATTTTCCGGGGATATTTTATTTTACAGTCATGTCATCATCTTCTGGTTACTGCACAATGGTGGAGGGCAGTGTTTCACTTAGCTAGGGCTTATTTTCGGGGTAGGGCTTATATTATGAGCATCCTGAAAAACCATACTAGGACTTATTTTCAGGTTAGGTCTTAATTTTGGGGATACGGGGTAATAATTCTTCTAGATATTTTGTGGCTTTGGGACCAATATTTGAAGGATATTCAGGGGGAGAAAGTTGTACATAACATCATCTGGTTCACTATACAAAACTGTACACAGAAATTGTGAATTGTTATGAACTTTGCAAGCTGGACAGTCATAGAGTGTTATAACTTATATAGAGCTCTGAGAACATAGTTGATGGGTTGTATAATGAGTTGACACGACAAGGGTTGTTGGAATCTAAGGATGGCATGCATTGAATTTGGGATCTCTGGCCCCTGCATGTAGAAACATGGGCTCTACCTTTGATCTTTCTAGACCACACATTTTCATTATAAGCTAGTCGGGAGGTAGAAGATGCAGTTATTCATTAGGCCATGAAAATATTCTGCATATTTGTTCTGCAGTATTCAGAATAACTCAAAATATTTTTTTTATTAGGAGGTCTCTATCCTTGATTCATCAGCTGCTTTTTGTAGCTATGGGTTGCTTGACTTCAGTATTGCAGTAGACCAGTGTATGTATGACTGGGAAAGACAGTAATGTTCAAAGAAGCTGAAGGTAGCAAGTAAAGGTCAAATTCAAGATGGGTTGACTTAGTAAAGAAAGCCACAACTTTAGTAGCAAGACCATTAATGACGAATCTTCTGGAAGTGACTAACTCATAGGTTTGCCATATGTTTAACAGGGCTTCACAGCATAGAACAACAGTGTCCTCTAACTGGAGCAAGCATGTTCCATTTTAACATTTTAAAGCCAATTAAATAAATAATCCATGGCTTTTGAAGAGTGAGGGAAGGAAAGATGCAAACCAATGACAAAAATTACATTACACTGTTAAATCACTGCTTTGGGACATTTCCCTATCAGTTTTAAGGTGCACTGCACTATAAACATCAACATTTTCTTTTATGCCTCTGTTAGTCCCAGAGTTCTGTTGGAGAAAACCATGCATGTAAGGACAGTCACACAAGTCCCCACCCCCTGAAGCCTATCCTTTGCAAAATTAGTTATGTGTCTCATTTTGCAACCATTATGTGTTTGCACAAAGGAAAGCCTGCCAGAGGGGGACATTGACTTTTATTCTCCTGCTCTGCATTTCTTCAACAAGATTCTGATGATTCTTAAGTAATTATGAGTCATAAATTCCTGACAGCATCTTTCAAGTTAGGCAGAGATCTACCAGTTGCTTTCTACCAACCAATTAAACAGTATAGTTACCACCAAAGCAAGAAGTACATTGACTGCAGCATTGTCATAATATTACTTTGTCACTGTTCTTCGAGGGTATTTCTAAGACCGTTCCAACAACTGCATAAATAAGAGCTTGCCACTGGGTACATTTAACAAAGAGTTTCAGTCATACTTATAACACTTTTACAGACTGAACCTTTCTGTATTCACATACTGCATGGCAATATGTACATTTAAAATGTCATAGATGCACACCTGAAATGTGCTGTGTAAAGCCACTTCATATACTTGCATCTAAAATCTGGTGTGACAGCAAAGGGGTTTCCCTGCAAGCATGCCCTGAGAGTTTGGACCTTCTGATGAGTAAAACAATTTAAGACTTCAAAGAATAGAAGAACTTTTATGGGTTGTAAGACTAAAGGTAATCATCACAGTTTGTAGGGTTACTGTTTACCGCATTTTGGCTCTCATAAACTATACTGTGCTGTCCTAAAAATAAAAGAAATGCTCCATTTTTCTAGATGCTGGTCATCACAAAGGTGGGTATTTCACTATCTCTATTTCTGTTACATTAATTATTTCTGAATGAGCAGAAATGTATATTCACATGTACACGTTTTATACATCTGTTGCTTACTGTGTCTTGTCTCCTTTTTTGGTGATGTAGACAGAACCAAACAACAAGCTATTTACCAGATCTAGACAAAACCAAACACATAATTCTTCCTGGATCCTGGTCAGAAGATGGCCTGTCAATTGCTGGCAGGCCCTAATTGTTTAGATATTCATTTGTTCTGCCCTAGCTTAAGTGAGACACATCAGCATTCCTACCTCTGAAGTCAACTGGGATCTTCTACATAGCCCCTCTATCAGGGTCTAGAGTTCAGATGAGATGGTGTGTTCTGTTAGTGGATTTCGGACTGGCTAGATCACCAGCAGTCATAATTCCCAATTTCCTTTGCTTTGTTTTTATTTCTGCCAGTGACCAAATTAGCAAACTTTCCAAAGAATGGGAAAAAACAGCACAAAATAAAGCTGTCACAGATGGATTAGTAGGAGGTAAAAGAGTTTCGTAAACAGCTGAAATTCTTAAGTAAGAGTTACGGAAACGGTGATGAACTTTTAGGGACAAATTTCTACAAGTTTGTTGCAGGTAGAGTCATGTGATTCAATATACAACAGATGATGTCTAGGGAGACATCATCTTTTCTTAACTTGCAATAATTCTCTTCCAAAAGGTACGTCATTGCATAACAGGATTTCAGACAAGAAACGTGAAGCTCTGTCTTCTAAAAAGAAATTACTGTAACTGGGAAGGGTTTTATTGTTTTGTTTTTAGGAATGGAGAGATTGGCAGCAGCATGGAACACACAGAAGGAGATTATGTCCAATTGCTAGCGCCTCTGTGGGTTCAAAAATGTCAGAGCTGTAGTTGGAGCCAAGAGAAGAAGTCCTGGGCATGTTGTATCTCTAGTATGCTAATTCATGTTTATTCGCCCTCAGAGGTAATGGAAGCGGAGAATACAAAGCATAGCTGAGATGTTAACAAAAATTCTGTGTTTGCAAAGTAATGCACTGAGCGCTAAAACTATCTTTGGTACTCAAAACTGCTTGAGGCCTTCATTCCCCCGATACATTTATTTTGTTGGTGTGCACCATATGTTCCTTTAAAAATAATTTGTTTTGTAAAATGCTGT